GATATTCTATTATTCACTCTGCAAATTATTAATAGCTGGTGTATATGAGGTCAGGCATTGTTTTTCTTGACCCCCGAATTTCAACGTCAACATTCTTGAAATAGACACTAAAATATTACCATTTACGGAGGTTGAAACAAATTTATTTACTTAATTTTAAAAGAAACATGCACTTATTGTTGATTAAAAAGTGACTGACAAACACTGAACAAAGAAAATACTAAATTAAGCATTTTCGGGGCCGTCCGGGTTTGGTGGTTGTCCGGTTTTGGTGGTCCCCAACCAGTATGCTTATCAATTGATCGGCTGTCATTTAAACACCATTATAAGACCACTTATCTAGTTTATAGTTTCTTGTCCTGTAGAGCAACTAATTGTGCACCAGTGCTTTTTATTATAAAGCCCATAACATCTATGTAATATCCGTCGGTATTGTAGTCGAAATATTAAGACTTCTAGTATGTAATATCATATGGACTACTTGTCCAGAAAGTCTTAAAATACATTTTAGAGACATAAATTATTAAAAAAATTTCCTCCTCTAATTCAGGAGAGTGAAGATTGCCACAGGTATAGCTGCGATGGCCAGTAATACAGAATCTTTAGATTGATAACTTACCCACAAACTAAAGGTAAAGGTAGAAAGCTGAGAATCTGTGTGAGATCAAGACCACAATCTAACATCAGTGTTACCCCTTTAAAGTACAGCACAAAACATGGCTTACTAGGGTTGTTTGACAAACAAACCTGGAAAAAAAACATCCAAAATTTCAATTAAACAGTTTTGTCAAACCATATTCATATTCCTAAAGGAAGTCAAGACTGACAGTTTGTACATTGTTGTACTTCTATTAGAAAAATGTAAATACAAGATGAATAGTAAGATCTAAATGAACCATGGAGAAACATTTCCTCCAGATGAAGCTGAGACAACACACATCTGAGTGTTAGCCCAAGAGCACTTAAACATGAGTTAACTTTCTTTTGTAATTTTACCAACATTTTCATTCTGTAGTAAAAATAATAAAAAATATGAAAATCCATCTATCTACTAGGTAGACCAAGAATAATTATTTTACCTTCAGAAAACATTAAGCATTAAAACATGAAACATTTTACATTATTACATATGGAAGTCAAAGGCCTGGCCCCCTTTTTATTTGCTCTGCCTGCAAAATCTAATTTTGACTAACTTGACCGTTAATGGAAGCATTTTTCAACTTGTCCATACTATGATATTATATACTAGTAAATGTTTTTTTAACCCTTTCCCCCATGAGCATATTGTGAAAAATGGCCATTTTCACTGAAAAGCCTCCTGTTACAAGTTCAAACTGCTATGAAACTATGAAAAATGCTTCAATACTAATCAAACTTGGCACAAATGTTGACTGGACCATTGTCTTTGTAACTACATGCTCAGTCTTAAATTTCCTGTTACCATGGCAACGAGGGGACATCTCAAAATTGCCAAAAATCACTATTTTGCCTCGATTTTTTCCATCAAAATTTATTTCAAAGTGCTGCAACTGCTCAAGGGATTGAGATAGAGTCAAAGGTTTTTCAGCGTTGGTTAAACGTTACATTATGATCGACCTGGGGTCATTTTTAGCCTCTCACAAGTCCAAAATTTTCTTGGCGATGAGGGGGACTCTGTCCCCCTTCAAACCCCCCTAACAGAAGGGGGCACATCCCCTTCTGGCAACCCCCTGATGTATCTTTTGGATGGGGGGGCGCCGAAAAAGTGCTCAATTTTTTAAGCAACATTTCTCAAACAAAAACTTATGTTTGGGGCCCAAATAGGACATTTTTTCACTATTGAGGCCTAAAAAGGGGGGGGGTCGAAAGTGCGTTGTTTCGCGTATATATGTGGTAAAGGGTTAACAAAAAATGATGAAAAACTTTGGAATCACCTAAAACTAGTTTTTCCATGTTAACATGTCGTATTTCCCCTAATTTTGGTAAAAAATTGTTGTTTTGTAACATTTATATTTTTTTTAGTTAACCCTTTCCCCCATGAGCATATTGTGAAAAATGGCCGTTTTCACTGAAAAGCCTCCTGTTACAAGTTCAAACTGCTATGAAACTATGAAAAATGCTTCAATACTAATCAAAACTTGGCACAAATGTTGACTGGACCATTGTCTTTGTAACGACATGCTCAGTCTTAAATTTCCTGTTACCATGGCAACGAGGGGACATCTCAAAATTGCCAAAAAATCACTATTTTGCCTCGATTTTTTCCATCAAAATTTATTTCAAAGTGCTGCAACTGCTCAAGGGATTGAGATAGAGTCAAAGGTTTTTTCAGCGTTGTTAAACGTTACATTATGATCGACCTGGGGTCATTTTTAGCCTCTCACAAGTCCAAAATTTTCTTGGCGATGAGGGGGACTCTGTCCCCCTTCAAACCCCCCTAACAGAAAGGGGGCACATCCCCCTTCTGGCAACCCCTGATGTATCTTTTGGATGGGGGGGCGGCGCCGAAAAAGTGCTCAATTTTTTAAGCAACATTTCTCAAACAAAAACTTATGTTTGGGGCCCAAATAGGACATTTTTTCACTATTTGAGGCCTAAAAGGGGGGGGGGGGGGTCGAAAGTGCGTTCGTTTCGCGTATATATGTGGTAAAGGGTTAACAAAAAATGATGAAAAACTTTGGAATCACCTAAAAACTAGTTTTTCCATGTTAACATGTCGTATTTCCCCTAATTTTGGTGAAAAATTGTTGTTTTGTAACATTTATAATTTTTTAGTTAACCCTTTCCCCCCATGAGCATATTGTGAAAAATGGCCGTTTTCACTGAAAAGCCTCCTGTTACAAGTTCAAACTGCTATGAAACTATGAAAAATGCTTCAATACTTATCAAACTTGGCACAAATGTTGACTGGACCATTGTCTTTGTAACGACATGCTCAGTCTTAAATTTCCTGTTACCATGGCAACGAGGGGACATCTCAAAATTGCCAAAAATCACTATTTTGCCTCGATTTTTTCCATCAAAATTTATTTCAAAGTGCTGCAACTGCTCAAGGGATTGAGATAGAGTCAAAGGTTTTTCAGCGTTGGTTAAACGTTACATTATGATCGACCTGGGGTCATTTTTAGCCTCTCACAAGTCCAAAATTTTCTTGGCGATGAGGGGGACTCTGTCTCCCTTCAAACCCCCCTAACAGAAGGGGGCACATCCCCCTTCTGGCAACCCCCTGATGTATCTTTTGGATGGGGGGCGGCGCCGAAAAAGTGCTCAATTTTTTAAGCAACATTTCTCAAACGAAAACTTATGTTTGGGGCCCAAATAGGACATTTTTTCACTATTTGAGGCCTAAAAAAAGGGGGGGGGGGGTCGAAAGTGCGTCGTTTCGCGTATATATGTGGTAAAGGGTTAATTAAAATTTCCACTTCAATATCCCTACAGGCTGTGTGAGAGAAAATTCTGAAGTGAGAAATGTCTTGTAAAAATTATTAGTATGGAAGTAGTTTTATATTTTAAATTTTCAACAGAAACTAGGCTATAGTGGCCACTTACACAGTCATGTATGCAAGAAAATAGAGAAAATAAGACACCCTAAAGGAAGTCCATAACAACAAATTGAAAATGTTGCAGGCTAGGTTTTCATGGACTGTACTGCCAAGTGCAAACTACCATCCATGCCCCCAAGCACCCGCTTATGCTGAATTCAACATTTAAACATGAAAATGTTGAAACTTTGAATTTAGAAACATCCACAGATGTGTTCATATGGCGTTATTAACTTATTATGGAACCGTCAATTTGACAATTTCGTGCCATTACATGAAAAGCGGCATATGGTCTCTTAACTAATAGAAAGTGTGTGCCCTAAATGAGAAAACAATGGTCGGAACTAAGCAAAATAGAATTTTGAAAGGTGATCAGAGGTTATGGAGCCTGCATATCACAGATTTTTAATTTCTGTCATATGTTGTGGTTCAGATCGGAATATCCGTCCCGAGGGGACCCTTCCCATTGGGCGGTAACGAGGATTGCCGAGTTACCGCCCATGGGCGGGTTCCTGATCGGAACCACAAACATATGTTAGATATTTTTTCTTGCATATTCTGCCATATTATTTCATATTTGAAATGGTTTACCTCAATAAAATATTTGTTCATTAAAATTAATGTCATTTCATCCATAACTATTTTCTTACAATAGCGTATGAATTTACAACTTAAATAAAAACGGCGAAATGACGTCATCCGAAGAGCATAGTTCCCTATAAACTGGCACCACCAAGATGAAATTTCCGGCATGGGTAAAACTCACGGAAATGCCAGTCTGCTATGCAAGAATATATGAATCTAACACCGGCTGCCAGTACAGACCGGAATATCTAGCTCAAGGGTGACTGTTTACGGTCGTAACGAGGCTCTGCCGAGTTTCCGCTAAACAGTTAACCGAGAGCTATATATTCCCGTCTGCACAGACAGCCGGTGTTTGATTCTTTTTCTTGCATATTAATTATTTTCAGAACAGAAACTACGAAAACTGATATTCTCTTTACGCACTTTTTTCTTATAGAAGCGTTTTAGCATACAACTTCATTCATAACAAACTCGTCACAGCGGTTACGTCACGCTTTGCTACTTTAACTGTACTGATCAGGGGAAGTAACTGCTGCGGGAGTTTGCATTCATAACGGTAAAGTGACGTCATCCTAAGAACACAATTCATTCATAAAATGCGCACAGCAATGACGTCATTTAAAGCACGCGGCTTGTCTAACATGGCGGGTGTAAGACAGGGTTTTCTAGCACTGGTGTAATCGGTAGATGATCCTGTCTGACATGCAAGAAAAACTCATGAGAAAAAATATCTTGATTCTAAAACCTTTCTGAGATAAATTTGAAGTGTCATGAAATAAAAAGATTAAATATATAATCTATTTATTGTAAGAAATACAAACTTAAATAAATATACCAGTTTCATTTTTATAAGTGCTGTATTTCGCTAAAATAAGATTTTTATGAAAGTGTTAAATATAAATCATGGGCGCCGCCATATTGGAATGGTCAATGTAACGATTGATAGAATTTACGGAGACACCGGTCTAGAAAACGACCTGGTTGGCCTGAGTTTACAAGTAAACAGCTACTTTTTGACAATTTGAAAGTTTATCTTGTCTTGTCATTACATATATATAAATGCATTTGATATGAAATATTTTCTTATTTATTTAGATGCGTAAATTCTGTCACAACTATTTATAATTTTAATGATAGTTAAAATTATGACAGGTTGATTTCCTGGTATTCACGAATTCGAAAACCTAGCTAAACGCCGTTTTCCGGTACTTTCTGTACATAGCTCTGGGGAATTCACCTAATGGAGTGTAATAGCGAACTCGATGTTTTCGGCCTTTTTTTAAATTAGATTGAAATAAAACAGTTATTTCTTTATAAGAAAATAATTAAATATCATTGTATGAATAATTCCATAGAAAAAATAAAGTAAATACACAAGTTTACGCAAAAAATATCCTTATTTATTATGGAAGATTCCACTACGTCTGTTTTAATTTTATTGATTTTCAATATAAACAATTTATTTTTTGAAAAATTTGTAATAGATTTTAAAGGAATATTGATAATTTTCAAATACATCAATTTTTTTCACCTTAAACGGTAGAATAAAGATAGAAAAATAGAAATATCATGTAACTGTGTTATGTACTTCTTTTGGTGTAATTCCCCAGAGCTAAATCCGTAAAGTACCGGAAAACGGTGTTTAGCAAGGTTTTCGAAAAGGTCAATGGTTTTTCTTTACCCCAGAGCTTAGTAACATATAGAACTTTCTGATTAACAGTTTTAATTAATCACTAACAAATTCAGGCCTAACATAACACAACCCCTAATTCTAAACCTTATGTATTATTCAGATTTAACCCTTAATCATGAAACTGCCAAATTTCAGACAGAAAACATTAAATCTTAACTAATTTAATTTTTACAATAGATGTGAACATATACATGTATAATTAAACTGTCAAACTGTTAAGTCTTTGGGTATTCAAAAATTGGGAACATAGCATACCGATCCTTGTTGAAAGGTGAGGGAAGTTGGCTAACTTTTTCATTTACGCGTCTGGCACTACCATGGTCGTGGTTCAATACAGTGGTTTTATTTTGGCACCAAAAATGCTGAGAGTTTGTCCAAATCGTAGTGCCAGGCTTAAGTGTAACATCTGACTGTGTCTGCAGGGAAAGGTTTTTATCTGAATTTAAGAAATCCAAAGTCTAAAATACAGTTCTACATTCCCTGGGGGCTGAGGGGTTGTGATTAATCTGTGCTTATTTAATATTTGTGATTGCAGAGTCATGATTGCCAGTGAAAGGTTGGCATCATTCCCAGTTTATTATTAATAATGTAATGCACTGGTTGATTGTAACCTTGAACACAGATCTTCCAAAAATAATGATTTTAAAAGTTCCTGCCAGACCAGGACAATCAGATGATTAAAAAAAAATTATACCCTGTCACATACCCAAGCCTCAGAACATCACTGACACATATCCATTTTTGTTTGCACCTGTAAAGATTTGCCTTTTCAAGCATGTCAAGTGTTTAAATCCTAAATTCGACCCTGGGGTCATTCCATATATGTCTGTAGAAAATATTGATTAGTCATGCACGAGAAACAATTCCTCCTATATATAAAAAAATAAAAACTTGTCTGAAATGTTGTGCCTTCTCTTTATTTGATTTTTCAAAAGTGCAAGAAAATTGTTGTTAATTCCTAGAGAAGATTTAAATCTAAATTCCTATAGAACTGTTTGATAGTGATATAATACTGATACTATATATTAAGAAAATAGCTATGTTGAGGATTTAATTTATCAGAATTTTAGAGTGATTTAACAGAAACAGAAATGATTTTATCTCATTAATAAAGTATTATAAATATTTGAAGAACATGGAATCTAAGACACCAACGGAGAAAACTTTTTTTGAATTCTAGTATGTTACGGCCACCAGCTGCCTTGTTCAGAATGTTACCATGGCAACATTTACGTGCCCAGCAGAGGGGCATGCCTGCATTTCTTGCTACTGCAGCATCTGGAAAGACAGAAACAAGGGCAGTAATCTTTGATATGGGAGGAGTTATCTTGCCTTCTCCAATGCTAATATTTCAAGGTCAGGATCAATATTTTAAATTTTGTTTACAAATTCTTAAGTTTCAAGCACCCAATTTTGTGCAAAAAACAAAATATAGTGAAATTGCCTGACCAATCTTGTTTTTTTTTGTCATTGTTAGTCAAAAATGAAAGTTTTCATTGTTCTTTAGCACAATTTTAGTGTCCCAATGACTTTTGTTTAAAGCCTACCTTCCTAAAAACAAGATTTATTTTTTTCACATATTACCTTTATATTGTTATATGTTAACATTCATAAGATAAATATAATTAGAAGGATTAAAAGAAACAGTTTACCATGTTTAGCTCGTATAGTCAAGCTATTATAATCGCTGCGTTGATGCCATTATCATTGTCATTGTGTAAATACATTAGTGTGGGTCATTATTCAAACATTATAAAAGTTATCAACATGAAACTTATAATACCTGCTTATCATGGCAAGATGCATAATTCTGAAAGCTATATTTTTGGAGTCATGTCCCTTTATAATTTACAATACTTAACAGTCGAGCATTAACACCGCATGTGGTGCTCTTGTTTTTCACAGACTTTGAAAGGCAAAATAACTTGCCTGATGGGTTGATATTGAAGACAATTTTGTCTGACAAAACTAATGGAGCATGGACAAGAATGGAGGAAGGACGTCTTAACTTGTCCGAATTTGCTAAAGTTTTCAGTGAAGAGTGCTCCAAACAGGTTGAGTAAAATAAAATTTCTTTTTTTTTTGTAATTTACTGTAAAGGACTTCCACTGAGGACAAAACCGCCTCCGTGGTTGAGGGTTAGAGTCGATGACTTCTAATCCAGTTACCTCTCTGGTGTGGGTTGGATCCCCGGGTGATGCTTTGGTAGTTTAGCACGGAGGAAGGCAATCTAGTACTGCTGTAACTCTCCAGGAACGATGGTTAGGAAACTACCCGCCTATATGACTGAAATACTGTTGGGAAAAGCGTAAAATGAAACAAACAAACACTGAGGTCAGAAATCCTAATAAACTTAAAATTTGAAATTCTTACATAGATCAAAATTATTGAGATAATAAAGAAATAAGATCAAATGAGATAATGAAGAAATATACTAAAGAGTGAAAGTGAAAATCTATTTTTTGCATGATTTATACCAGTAGCTCTGAGTGAAAAGCATTGCTATACAATGTACTTTTCACTTTGTAAACAGAGTGAGGGAATGATCTGAAATTTTGCAAACAAGTTATTCTTCCAGACCTACATTTTATTCTTCCAGACCTACATAATGAGGCTACATCAAATAGTACACAGTTCTCGAAAAAATATTTCCAGTTCCTGTCATGTCAAAAACCCTCAGTGGAGTCCCTTTAATGCTTAATTTTCATGTTTATTAGCATGGTATAAAAGTTATATAAGAATTTAGTAGAAACTGTGAGATATTATACATTTTTTACAACCATTGTTAAATCTTTTACATCTTACCATGCTAAAGTTATTGTAAATTAGTATGATTGGCTTGTCTTTCTTTGAATTTGTAACTGTCTGCTTGCCAGCGTGCACATTTGTGCAGTTTAACACAAACTGCACACTTATAATTTCAAGCTTTATTTTTGTATATTGATGCTAAAATCCCTCTGACAAATGTACTGTTCCAAAAGCTGGGCAAGTCCATTAGACAATATTCTGGGTGTTGAATTAATAAAAAGCAAGTATTACAATTGGCAGTTTCAAAACTGTGCGAGTGTAATAGACAATAATCTGGAAGTTTAATTAATGATGAGCAAATTTTTATATCTTACAGCTTGGCAAGTCCGTGGACATGTCGGATCTTATGCCACGATTTAGCAAGTTCGCAGTCACGCCATTCCCGCAGATGATAGATGCTATAAAGTGTGTACGAGCAGAAGGACTTAAAACAGCACTTCTTACCAACAACTGGTTCAACCTAGATAGCCAACAGACATATATACCTCTTGATCTGTCCATGTTTGATGTGGTTAGTATTTAGTTTTAACATTTTTTATTTAAGCTTGATTGTGAAGCAAGTTTGTAGCTTACGTATTGTACCCTCTTTTTGGAACTATTCAGTACTCAAGACTTTTATTATCAAAGGGTTTTCATTTTTATCTGAGGCAACAGATGTGATTTTTGCTCTCGCGAGATATAAATTTTCTGACACATACAAAACCTAGAAAGCTACTGCAACATAATATATATATATATAATTATTATAGGGGATGTTCAAGTTTTTTTTTCTATAAATACAGGATTTATTTTCATGGAGTAGTATGAAAAGAAATATTTCATTAGTGGCTTTTGACATTACAATTTTTTAAGACTAAAGTTTGTGTATAAGCTGAATTTAGAAGAAAGTAGTCTGGCAAGACACCAGTGAAGATATGGAAAATATGTTTCACTGCAGTGAAAAATAAAATTTTTACAGTAAAAAAATTACGAAAAATGAAAATACGCATTTTATTTCATCAATATTTCTCAATATTTCATTTATGAGTATATAATAAATGATATTATTACAGGTAGTAGAATCATGTAAAGTTGGATACCGGAAGCCTAACCCTAAGATATACGAGATAGTATTGAAGGAGTTAGATCTGCCCGGTGAACAATGCGTGTTCCTTGATGACATGGGAGGCAATCTGAAAGCAGCCAAAGAGTTTGGTATTAAAACTATCAAGGTAAACTCATCTTGTTTGATTTGCATTGGTATAACTATATATGTATATCCTACAAATTTCTTTACTTTATATATTTTTTTCCCATTGTGGCTGAGGGGGTTACTTTTAAAGGTTGAGTCATCAGAATTGCAGCCACTGTTTATCTCTGGTGATTGTAAGAGCGCGACTAAATGGGTTTAAAGTACTGGAGTCTATGCATCTCTTACTTCCAGCAGGTGAGGTGGTTTTTGACCCCTTGTGCTTTAAATTTGTAACACCCAAGGTAAGCCAAAACCTTTTTTTATCTGTTGCAGCATCTATGACCTAAATTGTGTTGTGTGCACCGTAAAACTAAACAAACAAACTCTATATATTTAATTCTTTTTTTTTTTATTCTTTTTTAATGCAGTGTGTTTTCTAATAGCCTTTTAGACTTTTAGAACTTTCAGTTTTGACTGAAAAAACAATGCATTGGAGTCCAGTCTGTGTTTAATATGTCTATAGTGAATTAAAAACAGTGATTTTATTTTTCTTATAACAATGATTTTATAACTTATGAATAAAGCCCACCTATCAATTTTATACCCCTTTATGATTCTTTCTTGTTTGTTGTGCATAATAAACCCTGTAATTAATTGCTTACTTAATTTAATATAACCTATGTTTATTGTAACTAACTGATAAAGCCCTGCCCTTTTACTCATCCAAACAGCCTTCTGTAATTTTAAGCCTCGACTATTCGATAAGAATAAGTAGAGCTAAAGTATTGTAGTCACCGCGAGCGTCGGCGTAACCACTTATGTTTAAAGTTTTTGTAATAGTTCAAATATTTTCAAAGTCCATTGACATATGGCTTTGAAACTTTGCACACTTGTTCACCATCATGACCCCAACCTGTAGACAGGAGGAGGTAACTCTATCAAGCATTTTGACAGAATTATGCCCCTTTTATAACTTAGAAATTTACGTTAAAAGTTTTTGTAATAGTTCAAATATTTTCAAAAGTCCATTGACATATGGCTTTGAAACTTTGCACCACTTGTTCACCATCATGACCCCAACCTGTAGACAGGAGGTGGTAACTCTATCAAGCATTTTGACAGGAATTATGCCCCTTTTCAACTTAGAATTTACGTTAAAGTTTTTGTAACAGTTCAAAATATTTTCAAAGTCCATTGACATATGGCTTTGAAACTTTGCACACTTGTTCACCATCATGACCCCAACCTGTAGACAGGAGGAGGTAACTCTATCAAGCATTTTGACAGAATTATGTCCCTTTTTCGAGTTAAGATTTACGTTAAAGTTTTTTGTAATAGTTCAAATATTTTTCAAAGTCCATTGACATATGGCTTTGAAACTTTGCACACTTGTTCACCATCATGACCCCCCAACCTGTAAACAGGAGGAGATAACTGTATCAAGCATTTTTTTTACTATTTCAAGCACTAAGAATAGATCGATGCGTTGCTGTCCTACCGACAGCTCTTGTTGTTGTTAAATTATTTTATTCAGAAAACAACAGTGTTTAGATAAACTGAATGGTAATTTCCTGAACTAATTAAATTTTGCTTAAAATCTTTACACAAAACCTTTATTAGCCTCAATACCTAATAATATCAAAATGATTTTAATGTTAAGGTTAAGGATCCAGGATAAAAATTTTCAAGACATTTAAAAAAAAGATTGTTATTATCGGTGAAGGCCCCAGATCAAGGTGTCAGAGATTTGGAGGAAGAGCTTGCCTGACAATGCGAGGATATGTGCCAGGACAATACTGTACCAAAAACCCGTCTTCAATACTGACCAAGAAAAAATTGAAAAGTTTCCTCAATTGGCAACTGAAGTTACAGTCTAAAGGTAAACTCAATGTTTCTTT